TAAGATATTTATTTATTTATTTATCTTCTAAGATTATTTGTTAAGTGATAATAATTATTTATAGTTATCATTATCAATTTGAATTTGAATAGCTTATATAAAAGGTCATCTTATAATTGTTTGAGTGATGTTGAATGAAATAAAATACAAGTTTCCTTTGAAAACTCTTTTCATTTTCTTATTAGTTTGGACCATAATAGCTATCTTTTTTTTTCCTATTTTTTGAATGAAAGACAAACCGCTTGAAACATGGTTTCTAAAATGAAACTTACCTAAACGTCACAAAATTACATTTAAAATTTTTTTTAAAACAAATTTTATGTTTTGTATGTAAAGTTCCTTGGAAACCTAAAGCTTTCCATATGTTACCTTCGGTTTTTGTCAAGATAATTTCATGGTTCATTCAAAATTTAAAAAAAAATTAAATTATTTTTATTATATGCTTTTTGCGGACTATTTTAAAACAAACATATTAATTTTTAAAAAATATAGCAATGTTTATCTTCATATCTACTAACTTTTACTTTTTTTTAATTTGTTTTTTAGTTATAGGGTAATTTAGGCAACAAATCATCTACAAGTGAAAGAGATATTTCGTAAGAATAATTGATCATTTCATCAAAACATTGTTAGAATTATTTTATTAGTTTAACAAGAAATTTATGTTTGTTTAGCTTAATGGACCTATGGTAATTGGCATTATCTATTTTTGTTGTTGCCTTCATATTGTGAACTTCTATTGAACATAACTTTGGATAAAAACTCTTTGTTTGGTAACTTATAAATCTTTATTTGAACAATAAATTGTTAAAAAAAAACTCAAATTTAAATATGTATTCTATTGTGTACTATTGTTGAGAAACAATTAGCATTATTAAACTATATACAGAACATACTACCTCTAATCCTTTTTAAAATATTTAAATTCACCCAAACTTTGTCAAATTAAGATTAAAATTAATAACATTAGATCCATCCGGCTTATATGCTTTTTACTAATTGCTATACCAATCTTTCTTATAGGTAGAATGGATAATAATTATATGAATCATGCTAGACCCAATAAGTTTGATAAAATGTAGATTTTAAGGGAAAAAAATAATTAAAAAACTCTTCACCATCTAATAAGCATAAATTTGAATAGTAAACCGTTAGAAAAGTTGATTCTTAAATGTGTTCTATTATCTACTACTGTTTAGAATAACTAGCATTACTAAATTATATACAAAACCTATTTTTTAATCTTTTTTAAAATGTTTAGGCTAACCAAAACATTTCTAGATTAAGTTTAAAGTGAACAAATTTAAATCCATCCAATTTATATGCTTGTTACTTATTGTTATACCAATCTTTCTTATAGTTAGAATGGACAATAATTATGTGAATCAACCTAAACGCAATAAGACTATTAGAATGTAGATTTTAAAAGAAAAAAAAAAAGCTAGAAAACTTTTATTTGTTAAAGTAACTAGTAAATACATAACCAATGCACTGTTAGAAAAGGAAATAGATCAAATTTTGAGAAATAGTTGTAATCTTTCAACTAATACAACCTTGTCAAATAGGTATTTTTTATAACATACTATTGTATCAAACCTGAACAACAAAAATGGCATACATTTTAATATCAGACCTAAATAGCAAGACCTAGAAATGTATAATTAAAGTGAAAATACTTCAAATATGAAAATCAAATAACCCTAGAACAAACAATTTCCTCATAAACCATGACTTCCTTGCAATTGACAAGTAGGTAAACTCTAAATATTTTTTTATCTTGATTACTAACAATACTTAAAAGAACTTTTTACTATAATCAAGTTTTTAAAAAATTTTAAAAACATTAGCTGCTCCCATATTCTTTATGGTTTGAACAAGGTTAAACCTTAATAAGTGGTTTTGATTCTGAAAATTTCTTACAATTACTATTATATAATGCATGGTAGTCGTCTTAATATTGATATAAATCATTACATTATATCCAAAAATTTGATTAAAACGAAAAAAATCATATTGAATCATATTATTAATTGTTTTGAAATTTTAAAATTAAACTATATTTTTTTAACAAACCTATCCAAATATGTTATCAATTGATTTTGCATTTAGATTATATGAAATGAGAATAGTAAGTTGAAACTTGGACATTTGTTTTCTGACAACACATTTGGCTTATCATTTGAATTGAGGTTTATTTACCACTTGTTACCATGCATCCACAACCTAATATACAATAATGCTATTAAAAAAATAATCAAACCAATTGACATGGTAGCATATGAAAACACTCTTAAAGAGAATGGAGTTCTCTTCATCTTAAACTTCCTTTTAATCAAAGGAAAAAGCATTATAATGTAGTTCTAAATCCTCTTAAAATAAATTTAGGAAGAATCATAAAGGTTGTTAAATCAACAAAGGTATCTAATGCTTTTTCCATATATCATTACAATTTTGTAACATTAACCATTGAAAAATAAAATCAAGAGGCATAAAGTATTGTCAAGTATTTAACTTTTTATTTTAAAATTTAACCATTCATTGCTATTATGTGGCAAATTATTATATATAAGAATATTGTTTTTCTTGCAAAAACAAGTGCAATTGGTATCTTGGTGAGTACACAAAAAACTTGGAGAACATATGTTGAAGAAGACTTACAAGAAGTTGAAAACAAGAACATACAAATCTAAATCTCAAAGTATATTTCTTACAAATATTTAATTAAATATAACATACTATACTTAAAGGAATTGACGGTATCTTTTATTTTATAGGAATGATTTATAGGTTTGACACTTTGGAGTGAATTTTCAAACCAATTAGATGAAAGACTTTGTAGAAAACCAAGAAAGCCATACAATAATATTTGCATCAATGACTATAACAAAATTCATGGTTAAAAAAATTATTTTACTTACCTATAGCAAATTTTTAAAGGAATCTATCCTTTGTTAACAAATACAATACATATAACATGACAATTTTCCATTTTTACTTTCTCAACTTCAAGAATCATAACTAATCCAAATATTCTAGAAGCATATGAACTAAAAAATAGGTACCTTATATAAGTTAAACAAATATGTATAATCCATTAACCAATGCTTGCATTATTTACTATACACTTAAAATAAAATTAAGTAGGTGTAACAATCCAAGAAAGACAGTTTGGCTTCTATAATTTAACATTGCACTTAGATTTCCATAAGAAAAAGAGAAAAAAAAAAAAAGAATAGAAATACAATTGAAAAATTACTAAAATTAAACCCTGCTGAAGCAACAGTATATTGTTTATTTCAAATTCAAAACATAGAAAAAAATAATTTCTTTTTAAGTCTAAAAACATATATACAATATCACAAATTCAATAATACAAAGTTTACATGTAAAGCATAGATTCTTGAGCTTGATGAAACCCAAGAATGGTTTTACAAATGTTGCATTATATGCACAAGAATAGTCATACCCTATGATGGTAAATTTTGGTGTAATGAGAATGGTGAAAGAATACATTCCCCTAGGTAATTATTTTCTAAAATATACATTAATTAGTTATCTAACAACAAAGAACAAATACATTACTGGTGCAAATTACCTATAATAATTGAATATCATATTGAAATTACACAATTCGTGTTCTTTGACATTCCTAAAAAAGGTTGGTTTAAGGAACAATAATGAGCTTTATTAACATTGCAAACGAAAACCATTTTGCACTTTCAAAACCATCGAAAAATCTAAAAAGCAAAAAAAGAATTTTTCAAATTTCCTTAACCAAATAGGTAATTTAAAAATTAAAGCCTTAGTACATTATCAACATTATGTTCCACCATGATGAATCTGGCATCAAATCATCCATTCTAATGTTACCTCCACCAAAACAAAAATGAGATAGAAAAAGTTGACTAAAAATGCATCTAAATCACCAACAAATACTACATTTTTTACTAATTTGTTCGATATGAAATCACCGACTAAGAAACCAAGAACAAGATATGCTACCATGGAATACATTTTTTGTTTAAAACACATATTTAAAAAAATAATGTTATTTTATGTTTTCTTAAGCAAGAAAGAAAAAAAGGACCTATTATATAGGCCTTACTTCAAAGGCATAATCAATACATAACTTACATACTTTCAAGGTCTAATGTATTATGCTTAATCACAAATTTAATATATAGCGACAATTAAATGTTAACTAAATATAACTTTTTCAATTATTTCAAGTTGAAGAAGATATCTGCAACTAGGGACCGCAATCAAGCCCGTCCGCGACAGGTTTCGACCTGACCCGACTTTATAAGATCAAGGTTTTTTTTTGAATTTCGGGTTTCAGGTCGAAATCGGATAAAATTAGGTGACAATCGAGATCAAGTCAGGCCGGGTATGCCTAAAACTCGACCCTACCCGATCCGATATTATTAAAAAATTATTTTTTAATTAATTATTTATTTATTTATATATATTTATATAATGATATTTTTAAATATTTATATTTAAAAATAATATTTTATATTTTAAAAAATAATATTTTATTAATTTCGGATCGAATCGGATCGGATACGATTTATTTGTTGTCCGATCGGGTCGGATTCAGGTATTAAAAAAAATTCGGGTCGGATCGAGATCGAGTTTGATAAAACATAAAATCGGATCGGGTTCGGAACGAGCATAAAAGCTTGCCTACTATTTATTTTATAATAGGAGAAAAACAGTAAAATTTTTAATTTAAGAAACAAGGTTCTATAATTTCTAAAAGAAAAAAAAAAAACTAAAAGGATTAACGAATTGACCCAATGACGTGTGTGTGTGTATATATATATATATATATATATATATATATATATATATATATATTTTCTATTCTCTATAATGTGAATAGAACTAAATTCAAGGCTTCAAATAACAAAATACCTAAATTCCCAATTTATAATACAAAATTCAAATCAAAATAAATCTCATATTCCAATCACTAATCATCAAAATAGCTATTTGACTTTCAGCAACAGATTTTACTTTTCACATTCAATTCATGATAATAATAATAATAATAATAATTAAAATAAGATCTCAACCGGCAGCAGGCATAAGAGAAATGACCGATAAAGGTGTCAGTTACCAATAACAAATTACCAACTAATATTTACCAGCTGCAAAGCTTCCTACGTATTTCAGTTACCAACAAAATAGTACAAAAAGTCTTCAAACTCACTTTAAAGGGGGAATATTGATCCGTAAATGGCAGAAAGTATATGCCTATGAGATCACAGATGATGTCCCCAATACGAAACCCTCCCTCTCTCTCTCCCCCATTACCTAACAAAATTACCACTAACCCATCAAAATATGACAGCAAAGGAGTATGAAGTAACCCCCTATTTTTTGTTAATTTCTTCACCATTTCCTACTAAAACAATACACCCAACTTCTGCTCCTTCGAAATCAACACCAAACTTACATCCCCCTCCCTTGTAATGCTGTTATAACCCTCCTAAAGTATAAAATGACAATCCCCAAGACTACTAGCAAAAGATAACGTTAGACCAATAAAAGTAGTTCCCATCAAAGGAAGCGAAGCTCTGCTACTATTAGACACCCAAAAAGTACTAAAAAATTTAGAGTTTTCAATCCCATGCACTGGTAATACCTGCACCGTAACCTCCACCATACCCACCAGCACTGTTGCCCCCACCATAGTAATCTGAACCAACCCTGTTGAAAGATGACTCCCTTCGAAAGTCACGCCCACCAAATCGGCCTCCCCCAGGACGACGATTCCTCCCTCCAAATGAACGAGCTGCATATCCAGTGAGCCAAGCGGGCACCTCTTGATTCGCTTCTTGCATTATATCCGCTAATGACCTTGCCAAAGAAGCATTGTTATCATTGAAGAAGGCTGTGGCTAAACCAGTTTTGCCAGCACGCCCTGTCCGTCCAATTCGATGAACATAGTCATCAATATCATTAGGAAGGTCAAAGTTCACAACATGTGCAACATGAGGAATATCAAGACCACGGGCAGCCACATCAGTTGCTACCAAGATTGGGGTAGCGCCACTTTTAAATGACCGTAATGCTTGTTCTCTTTCCTGCAATATACACAATAAATGCGGTATCTTAACAACAGATAAAGTTGTAAGCCCAAAGAGCCAAAATAATTCACCTTACAAGAGTAGGAAGCATTCTACACGTGAAAAATAGAGAAAAAAATTGCTCAAAATATGTAGATGATGCCGTAGAGAGGAAGATAAAGAAAGTCAAATCTTGAGTAAGGACACAGTAAATGATTAATGCAAGCCACGACTATTTCAAACGAAAGACAAAGGCATCACTAAAATGGATAGACAAAGTGATCCATCTGTATTATTTTTCCATGACTAATATTCCTAGAGACCAAAAATACCTAGAAAGTATATAATTTGGAATATATGCCCACATCTTTATTAGAAATCTGCCTTCATGTAGAAATCCAACTGCAACCATATACATATTTGACACCACACTCATTTCCATATCAATGCATTACTTGATAATTAATGTGTTAGTTAATTCTTGGCATCTATTAACAGACCTCTTAGTGATTAACATCTATCAACAGAGATGATATATAAGCCCGGCATCCCAAAAAAAAAATTCAGCATAAGCTCCCTATAGAACCAATACCAAATGTGAAATTAGCCTAGGATAGAAATTGCACAATGGATAGAATACTGAACGCTAGTAAACCAACGGATAATTAAGGACCATCTGCATAAGAGGGAAAAAAACAGGAATATAAAAGGGGGATAACAATAACGCCTCCAGCCATGAGAATAAAAGGAAAAACACCAAAAACGCTTAAGATGGATTTGCTGAGAATTATTCTCCAACTCCCAACCAGAAACTAATAGTTTTGCAAATTGCTCAGCCCTCTCGTCCAAACTACTCTCACTTCTTAGAAATGTTAAAAAAATGCCCCATCTAATGCAACAGTTTAATGCAAATTAACACATAGAGCAACAGGTAAATTGCAGTAAATTGCAAGTAAACAACACAAAGCAAGAATTATTTTACATATTATTTTCTTTCAATCTACATACAACTCTGGTTTTTACAGGGCCCTTGGCTTTGGTGTGCTCCTATATCATATTAAGCAAGGCCACATGCACCACAGATATGCTGCTGTGGCCAATAAGGTAATCATTCATATTTTATATAGAAAAAGTGAAACAAGGAATTTTCTTTTACCCAGATGATAAGTCTAAAGAAAATACTTATTAGAGCATCCATTAACTTTTAGATTATAATATAAGCATGCAGCATAAGAACTGTTCAGCAAAAAATTATAATTTAACTTCAGAATAATATCCAAATAAGTCTTTGAACTTCACAAAAAAAAAAGAAAATAAGCTCTCAACGTTTTATTGCATGGAATTAAGCTATGAACCTTTATTTTTAATATAACGAGAACCTTGACGTTATGTGATATTCCATATTTTGTTAAAACCTTCTTGGTTGTCTAATGTAATCCATAGAAAATTTTTACTTAAATTTATTTGGATGAGTTGGATGATAAATAATTGAGGGAATCATATTTTAATAATTATGGCAATTGGAATTTATTCACCCATTTTCAAATTAAATGGGTATAATTACACTAAAATAAAAGTTCATAACATTAATTCCATGGGATATAAAAAATCAATGACTTCTAAACTTTGAAGGCTTATTTGGGTGTTATCCCTTTTAACTTTCATAAAAAAATGATCAAGACTAAAGAACACATAAACAAGGAATTTTCTTTTACCCATATGATAAGACCAAAGAAAATACTAAGATGACAGAATTCATTAATGTTTATATTATATTTGATCTCTTAATTATATAGGCACGCAGCTTAACAATTGTTCAGAAAAATATAAATAAACTATAATTTAACCTTCATAAATGATGTGTGACCATTGTTGCTCTCAATTTTATTAAGGAAGACTGTAAGACACCAGAGATAAAATAAGCATGCTCTTCATTCTGACACCCAGTATTATACCCAAATGTGAAGCAATCCTTATTGGTACAATGCAGCACGGAGAAGCTGCCTATATACTCCAAGTATTCTATATAAAGCAAAGTCATCTACTTTACTCACTCTACTTTACTCACTTTATGCTTGGCCACATAAAACACATAACTCAAAGTACCACCACAGCTGATAGGGTTGACATTAGGTTGGAAGCAACAGGAAGAAGAGTATGAAGAAAGGATTATATATATCTAATCAATGAAGAGATTTGCCATCAAGTCAACCATATGAAGCACAATGCAACAAAAACAATCTCAAAATTTTGCTTCAAAAATGCATAAGTAACCTCTCAGTTGCAGTACTCGCATAAAATGGTAACCAAGAAAGTTATAAGCCAAAGGGATGATAAGATGCTCAAAAAAAAAATAAATAAATAAAACAGCTGATATCTCCCACTGTCAGAACTAGAACAGACAAAGGGAGGATAATAAAGGAATGATAAACAGGGAGAAGATGATACTGACGATAATGATGTTATGAACAAAGCACAAATCCAGTCATTTCATCATAACAGGCCAATAGTGTAAAATCATGAGAAACACCATAAAACAATCCAAATTTGGCTTAATAATAACTGAAAACTGAACGCCTAATATATTTCAGATGGTACAAAAGAAATACTAATGTAAGAAAGATTTCAATGTTAACATTTGTGAAAATATAAAACCATCAACAACCAAATGACATAAGAGCCCTCAGTGAGACATCAAAAGGGAAATAAAAATTAAAAATAGCAACTAAAAGGCAAGATAATGAAGCCTAACAGCTTCCAGTGACAAGGACATTATAGAGGCATCAGTAATTCACTTTTAGGCAAAATGTAGGGCAAAAGCAACAAGAAGAGCATGAAACAAGATATTTAAGTATCCCACTAACAAAAATTTCCCAAAAATGGAAACTTAAATTACTTGGGAAAAAGGCAAACTAACTGAATAGGGACTTAAATGCAATGCAGCTATAGAAGCAAACCAAACTATCTAGGCAAGTATTCCAACAGTCCTCCCCTCAGAAGCTTCTGAAGTATCTTGGCAATTATTATAAGCATAAAAAAAATTTGCCAGAATGATACTATATCTTTCATTGGGTTATAGACAACTAATAAGGATTTCTTGGTTGATAAGGCAACTAATAGGAATCAAAATCAGATCCAATTGAGCATGTACTCTATATATATTGGATTCAATAGAAGTTTAAAGAAAAACAAAAGTTCCACCAATCATTTTCATGCATGAATAATCAGGTCAGAATTCATACGGATTTCTGTACTTCCACTGACTGTTTAAATTAGTTCTAAGAGAATCCTTGGGTATTAACCAAAGAAAACCTGAAGGAGTTTGCCATTCTAGATGCTCCACACTAACTGGATAATAAGGAAATCTATTGAAAATAATACCACACCTCAGTTAGCACATAGGCATGACAAACTCAGACTTATCAGATATAAAAACCAATTGGGATCAATGAGGATAATCTTTAAGGAGACATATTTGCAACAATATATCAATCATTTCTCCCAAGAAAGGCATTTGATAGAAATTCAAAGAAGGGCCGGCCCAAAGCCTTACTGTGCCCAAAATATTGATAACACATGAATTCTATATGTCAGAAAACATATCCAGCTCCAAGATTCTAAACTAGGCAAAGAACCATGCATGGGAAAACCAACAAGGGAAGATAAAAATAAGCAAGTTTAACCTTTTAAATAATTTTAAATACAAAAAATGTCTACAACAATATGAAAGGCAACAAAGTTGCACGGTTATCCTTTTATATAGGTAGGCCCTTTTTCCTTTAAGTCTAGATAATGCAAATTTAAAACTCATGGATCACCACAAACCATTTACCTACTGGGCTGAACAGTTTCATTTAAGTTTAGCCACTTATTTATCATTAAAACCTCCAATCCTACAGCATTAAATACCTGCAGCAAGTTCCCCTAACTACAAATATAAAGCTTTATTGGCAAACTAGACGCCACAATTAAATATTTTAGGGTTTAAATACACTTCTATCCATGAGACTAACAATTCAATTCAAAGGAAGTACCATGCATAAAAAATATGAAAGGCAAACAAAAACAAGCATATTTACCTGCTGGGTTCTATCACCATGAATGGTAGTTGCAGGAAAACCATTCATGCACAGCCACTGTTCCAGCAAATCAGCTCCCTTTTTTGTCTCAACAAAAACTAAAGTAAGAGCCTGCTGCGAGATTAAAATTAAAAGGTCATCTAAAAAGGAAACAACAGTCAAATTCACAAAACTATAAAGTAGACAAATGATTTATAAATAGACCTAAATCTGAGTCATGCAGGAATTTCCATTTACGTAAGTAGGATAAACTACCACAACTCCAAATCATTAGTACCTTGCCCTGGACACCATTTGCTCTCTGAGCATGAAGAAGGTCCATAAGGTGACTTCTTTTGTCTGACTCATGAACAAGTTCTACTCTCTGGACAATCAAATCAGTACTTGATCCAACTCGCCCCACAGCCAAGAAAATATAATTTGCAAGAAAATCAGAGGCCAGTCTCTGCATGCAGCAAAAATGAAAGAGTAAATAATTACCAAAATGCATGATATACACACTCCAAATAATATTCCAAGATGGTAGCAACTAGGTTGTGGTTCAAGTGGCAGGAATGGACTGGGGTTTGGCTAAAAAACTTGGGTTTTAGCTGTAATGCTCTCTCTTGTAACCAATAAACAAAAATTAAAATTCCAACAGAATGCATGCCATAACAAAGAATGATCTTCAATAATCAGTATTACAGTACATATGCATGCCATGTATGAACCTAATAAAGAATATAATGTAGAGAGATAACTCATGAGTAAAGCATTGAAATTTCGTTAAGAATTTAAACAAATATTTAAATACTTGAAAGAAAATAATAAATGATTCTTTAGAAAGCCAGGAGCAACCTGTATCTCTTTTGGAAAGGTGGCACTGAATAGCATTGTTTGTCTAACACCAGGTGGAGGCATGTCCATTTGTTCCACAATTTTTCTTATTTGAGGCTCAAAACCCATGTCCAGCATTCTATCTGCCTCATCTAGGGCTAAGTACCTGATCATCTGTAGGGAAACTCTAGCCCTCTCTAGCAAGTCCACCAATCTTCCAGGAGTTGCTACAAGAATATCAACTCCCCTCTCCAGCTCCTTCAGCTGTTCAATTAAAATGCCATCAACTTGTAGTAACACAAATATAATTCAAACATATAATTTAAGATGAGAATGATGACACATAACCAGTAGAGCTCAAAATTGATACCTGAATTTCAAAATTTTTATGCTATCAATAGCAACAAGACATATCAGAGAAAAATTTATAGATCTCGTAAACTTAAGAAATATGTTCAAGATAAGTCTGGAATAGACAAATTCCCTCAACCATGCACTCCCCCCCCCCCCCCACCCCTTTCACACCAAAAAAAAAATGTTCCTTCCTGGGGGTGCAGAAAAAGTCAAAAGACTCATCAAGCCTGAAGAGCACTTGTCTATATCCTAAGTAGCTAAGAGTAAACAATTGAAAAACGAGAGACTAAACTCAAAAATATGCCAAAGAAGGCTATATTTTCCCCAAGAGCAAATAGTTTCACTTTGACCAGCAAAACTAGAGTGCAAATTTTGCTTATATAGGAGTTGATGCATAAAAATCATCAAAATTATAGCACTACTAAGTTGGTGATGCTACTTAAAGTAAAAACAGAATAATAAGGGTAAAATGAAATAAAAAAAGAAAGGAGAAAAAAAAATACCTGTTGTTTAATAGGAGAACCTCCATAAGCTACAACCACCTTAACACCTGTTTGAAAAGAGAACTTCCTGGCTTCCTCGTGTATCTGTGATAATAGTAAAAAAATATATAAATTCCACAGTAAAAATAGAAGCACATTATTTAAATTGTTAAAAATATGACACTCACTTGCACTGAGAGCTCCCTCGTAGGAGAGAGTATAAGAGCTAGTGGGTATACCATACGTGCCCCACGTAATGGTCTTTTTGGAATCTGGCCTCTCATAATTCCACTGATAATAGGAAAACAAAAGGCAGCTGTCTTTCCAGAACCAGTCTGTGCACATGCCATCAAATCCCGCCCTGCAAGTGAAATGGGAATGGCATGCCGCTGAACAGGTGTCGGCTTCACATATTTGCACCTTCGGATATTTAGATTCAGTGCTTCACCCAAGTCAATCTCTGCAAAAGTATTGACAGGCGGTGGCACGTTGTCACCACTTGTCTCCACAGGAATGTCTTCATATGCCTCAAAGTTAATCCCAGTACTCTCTTGCTCACTGAATGCCTGCTCTTTATCATCATCATTTCCAAATGGATTGACTTCCCTGTCTCTGCCACGATCCCAACCACCACTTCTGCCACCCCATCCACCAAGTCGACCACCACTGCTACCACTACCATGCCCTGATCGGTTGTTATACTCATTCCTAGGAGCAGCCCCACGAGATCCACCATATCCAGGTCGGTCATTACTTGAAGCAGCGCCAGTTGAAGTAGGAGCAGGTGAGTCTGCAGAAGGTGGGCGATTACGAAGATGTGGAGGTACATAAACAGGTCGGCCAGCAGATGAGGTGGTACCAACAACTCCGTTGCTAGCAGAGGAAGAAACAACACCTACATTCTCGGCTGCTGAATTCGCAGCCAAATCTGCCCATGATGTTCTTGTAGTCATCGCAATTCGCAACCACCAAGATTCCAAAATTTTTAACAAAACCCCTTTTGGCCAAAATCCAAGAATTCACTTCAATACCACGTCAAAATCCACCAAAATATTTTCCAATACGAAATTTGTCAAACCTGATCAACCCATAAAACGGAATTTTAATATATATATATATATATATATATCCATCAAAACAAATTATGCTATCTAATTTTACATCATCAGTCACCCAAATGCAACATATCAATGTAAACAATACGCTGGCTCTATTTGATAGCTCGAAGAAATTGAATACAAAACACAAAAATTAATATATCTTATCAATTTATTCCAAAATTGATTAGCAAAAACCAAAAACAATTGCCTTTCCGTCAATCAATAAAAAAATCCCAAATGCAAAATTATCAAAATGTAAAAAGCCAAAATCCCGAAAAGAAAAGAAAAAAAGAAACAACATTGATCTGCTAAGCCCAACAACCAACACAAATTAAATGCAACAACACATGAAAGATTCAAATGCATAGAAAAATTAATGCACTTAACTATACAGAGATAAAAGAGAGAGACTGAAACCTGAGAATGAGAAAAGCCGAAATCTGATGTTGAAAGAATGAAGATCCAAAAAAAAAAACCCCTAATATTATGCTTGCAGACACACGCCGAGGAGGAAAAGGAGATGAAAATTCTTTTAAAAAACACACGAATATCTTTCTTTCTCTCTCTCTCTGTCTTTAACCAAATATTTAGACTTATACTTATTTTTTGACTTATCAAAAAAGTTTCTTCCTATTTTCATCTGCCTTCGCCGATTTCTCTTTTTTTCTCTATTTTTTTTAATTAAATGTGAAATTTAAAATTTTTATTATATTTTTAATTTTTAATAAATTAGATAGTCCGTACAAAATTTCCGGCTAAAGAGAATGATGGCGTTTAACGCACCCAAGATTGGTAACTTTACTGTGCTGTAAATAAATGGTCGGGACTCTAAATTACTGGAATGACCCTCTTCGCCCAGTGGGGGCATTGTTCTCAACTCTCAACAGACCCTCTCCCGCGTTTTTCAGCTTTAGCTTAGGGGCGAAGTTGCTCTACTCCTTACGGGAGAAGTTGTTTCAAGCGCAAGTCAATTACGTCATCCTTTTTTTCACGTCTCTAAAAATATTTTACTTATAATTTTTTTATTATAATATTATAATTATCTGATTATAACTCAAAATTATATATAATAATTTAATACTTATAATAATAAGTTCTATATCAAATTTTTATAACTCTAAATTATAATTGATTCATTATATTATAATTATTATAAATGACATAATGCCATTTCTTACTAACAAAAGTTGAAAGCAAAGAAAATTTTCTCATTATTTTTTTGGCAAAATATCTCTTCTAGTTATTTGATTTCTTAATTATTATCTCTTATTAAATTAAAATAATTTAAATATAAAGACCAAAAGAATTTATTTATATAGAATTATTTTATTTAGTATCATAAATACAGTGTTACTCCAATCTATTTGATCATAATTAAAAAAAAAATTAAATGAATAAAGTTAAGAAATAAATCCTCCAAATTTTTGTAATTCCTTTCATTATTTATATGGTAGAATTAAGCCTTAAATATATGAATATGTATCTGTTAGAGTAAAACAATAATTAAATTTATATATCAATATAACACTTAGAAGTTTTCAATCTAACTAATTTTATGTTATTTACTATCACGTTACCTAAGCAATCTATAATTTTTTTTTTTAAGCAATCTATAATATTTATTTTTTTTTATAAAAAAAAAATCAATGATAGATAAATTATTCAATTTTTTAAGTCATGACAAGATGTATCATATCTGATAGCTTAAGAAAAATGATTGCAAATCGTGCATTCGAGATAACCTCAATAAATGATTATCGATAAGATTCAAACTCAATACCTCTTCATTGAAAATGACAAACCTTAACTGATTAAACCAACCACTTATTAATAATCTATAATATTTGTCATTCTTAGAAGTTTGTATCAAACTTATTTTATACTACTTAATATCATACTGTTATAAACAGTGCTTCACTTGAAATTTTAAGACATTGTATTTATTAGAATTATTTATCTTTTTTTTTTTTTTTTGGAGATAATGATGAATTTTGCTTTCATTTACTAATTACATTGTGTGTTTAATTGGCAATGTTATCGTCCAAGAAAATGTTAAAATTTGTTCAAAGGTAAAGAGATTCCTCGGATTTCTCTATTTGGTTTGCTTTACATTATTGATTGATTAATATCAGTTTAGAAATTTTATTTTGAAAGTTATTTAATCGTAACATATTAGTAGTACTATTGACCAATATGCTTAAGGTATTCAAATCATATTATATCATATTATATATATATATATTACAATATACGTAAACACTTAATAACGTTTATTACATGAACATTTATGTGTATAGTTTTTTTGAATGACATATGAGATATTTTTTAAAGAAATAAAATAACTTTTTTTTAGTTACAAATTAAATAATCTTAAATTTATTCAAATATCAAAATTATTCAAATTATAATTGACAATCTAAGCAATCTAGATATATATTTTTTAAAATTAAAAATCAAAACTATGAATTTTATCTTCATAATAAATAATTTTAATTATTTACCAAATATTCTTATTTAAAAAATTATTTAATTATCAAAATCTTTTAATATGTTTAAAAATTACAAAGATTAAGTTTATTCATAACTTTAAACAACCTTTTTTATCTTGATTTAAATCAATAAAAAATTATCATTTCAAAAATTTATGTAAGATATTAAAAATTCAAATAATTTTTCATATTAAAGCTTTAAATAATAAGACCATAAAAAAGATCATATGCCTCTCAACTCTAATTATCAAATTTATATTTTAAATATATGCAAAAAAAAATGATTTCATCGTTTTCACCTATTATATCCTTTTTAAATTTAAAAAAATTTAATTTAAAAATCATTTATTCAATCCTAATTACCACTCAAGAGTTCTTTTACAAATTTAAAACTATAAATGTAATGTATTATATCAATTTTTATTTTTTGGTTTGCAACTTTTTTTCAAGGTATATTCTATTTCTATTATAATTTTTTTTTGGTGTAAAACTTTCTTTCCAAGATATATTTTATAACTATTGCAATTTCCTTCTTATGAAAAATATTTTTTTAATTTATTTTTTTCTCATATCTCTTAATAATTCCATAGTTTGCACAACAATTTAGTTAAGTTTACAAAAGTGAAAGTATGTCAATACTCTTTTTATTATTTAATTTACTATTTAATAATATATACATTTTTGTTTTTTAAGAAAGACATAATTTATTTATGTTAATTTGATATAATCTTCCAAGAGTATAAATATTATTGCAAATAAAAATGATTTAAAGGGAAGACATATCATTTTTTTTTTTTTGGTTTTCTTCAAAAAAGTTTTAATTTTTATGATAAGTCAATATATATGAATTTTATATAGGTTATAAAGTTTGAAGATTTAAATATAATTTTGGAAAGAAACTAATTTGTATGTATATGCCCACATTAAATAAGTAAAATTATTTCATACATCGCACAGGCCGCAATCTAATATATATTATATTACAGAATACACACGTGATAAAATTAGTTAATAATTTTCTTATTTGACACATAAAAAAATTTTGAAAATTTATATTTATAATGACACATAAAATAATTTCTAATTTTAGGTTATTTATCAAATAATTATATTTAAAAATTATTAGTTATCCAAATCTTTTCAAAATTTAAATGAAAATCAAAATTATATAAATTATTCAAAATATGATTTTTAAACTTATTAAAATATGATTTAAAGTAAATTATAAAAATAATAAAAATATTTTTTTCAAAATTATTATGCTTCATACTCATTCAAATTTAAATAACTTTTCAAAAATAAATACATAAAATTTGAAATAATGATAAGATAAATGATAATTAGTACAATTCTTTGCATTTTGAGCCAACAATAAACACTTTCACTTGCCAAACATGGTTGAAATTCACATTATGAAATTTTGATCTTTCTATAATCAAAACCAAACTAACTTCTCCATAACAACCCAAACCAACAAGCAAAGAAGAATCATAAGTTTCCATCAAGTTTGATTAAATTTGTGTGTTTAAAGTCCTATAATTGTGAATCATTATCTCTAGTTGTGAATCTAAAGTCTTGCAATTAGGAATCGTTAACTCTAATTGAATCCAGAGTTCTTCAATTGTGAATCATTGAATTTAATGTGAATTCAAAGACCTTTAGTTGTGAATTTTTTACTTTTATGTGAATCTAGAGTTCTACAATTGTGAATTGTTAACTCTAATGTGAATATTGAGTTTTCTAATTTACTTTTAAGACTAATAAGAATCCTAAGCAATCCCAAACGAGAATTCTAGGATTCAAGTGTGAATCCTTGACCATATGTGAATTTAGAGTCTCATTTATGAATCCAGAGTCTCATTTGTGAATCATCGACTATAATGTGAATCTTTAGTTTTTTAATTTGCATTTGAGATTAATAAGAATCTTAAGCTTCATAGATGAGAACATTAGGATCCAGTTGTGAATTTTTTATTCTAATGTGAATCTAAAGTCTCTCAGTTTTGAATTTTTTACTTCATTATGAATCTTGATTAAAATATAAAAAAAATTTAAAAATCAAAGCTTTGAAAAAAGGTTTTCAAATTTGTTTTCAAAAGTCATGGTGCCTCTAACGAGAGAAGTTTTTAAAAAAGGAAAAGTTAGAAAGAAAAAAGAAAAGAATAAGAAAAATCATGAAAAAAAAGTTCAAAATCCAAAAAAAAATTGAAAAAATTCAATTAAAAAAAATCTTTAAGTTTTGGTCATTTTTATTTCCTTATTCATGTTTCAGCTTGATCATTTTTAGTTTCTAACTTACGGTTCAGTCCTTGTCATCTTTATTTTTTGACTTGCAGTTTAGTTTCAATCATTTTTTTTTCTAGCTTACAGTTCAGTTTTAGTCATTTTTATTTTTTGACTTAGGGATTCAATCATGGTCATTTTATTTTCTGACTTGCAGTTCAGTCTCGATCATTTTTGTTTCCTAACTTGCTATTCAGCTCCAGTCATTTTTATTTTTTAACTTACAGTTTAGTCCCTATCATCTTTATTTTTTTCAATTACGATTCAATCTCAATTATTTTTATTTCTTGACTTACGGTTCAGTCCTTATCAAATTTATTTTTTGACTTGAGGTTCAGTCCTAGTCATCTTTATTTTTTAACTTACAGTTTAATCCTAATCATTTTTACTTTTTCACTTGCGATTTAGTTCAGTTCATCTTTATTTTCTAACTTACGATTCAATCTTAGTATTTTTTACTTTTCGACATGCGATTCAATCCCAGTCAATTTTATTTTTTTACTTATGATTCAGTACCGATCATTTTTATTTCTTTAACTTACGGTTTAGCCCCCGTCATCCTTATTTTTTAACTTATGGTTCAGTCTCGATTATCTTTATTTTTTGACTTGCAGTTTAGTCCAATTATTTCATTTTTTTACTTGTGGTTTAGTCTTAATAATTTTTTTTACTTGTTGTTCAGTCTGCATCATCTTATTTTTTTACTTACGATTTAATCCCTATCATTTTTAATTTTTCGATTTGTGTTTAAGTTTCGATCATTTTTACTTTATAAATTACAGTTCAATCTTAGTTGTCTTTATTTTTAAACTTACAGTTTAGTTTCGATCATCTTTATTTTTTTAACTTGTGGTTCAGTCTTAATCATCTT